GAGTACTCTTCTAGTATATAATAATTAATTTGAAATTCTTTTAATCAATATATTATATTTTTTATTTTTTATCATCTTGTTTGTATTAATTTATATATTATATTATTAGATATTTATTTCAATTATACTTTGAAATATTATAATAGATTAATTTTTCAAGATGCTCTTTTTGATCATTTGACATTCTTATCAGCTAGTTTTATCAAACATGATTTGTTTATCAACTAGCTTATAAATTAACAGCTAGCTTATCAGCTATCAACTAATTTGTCAAACATAACCTAATACCATTATGTATAGATACTTTGTTAAAATTATGCATATATATCTTTTTGTGTGTGGGGGATGGGGTGAAAACCTCCCGGCCCGTCAAATCTCTTACAAGTGAGATCTTGTCCCTCTCAAACCGGGTGAAAAAATTTATTTTACCTTACAAGGTCTCTTATATATTATTAGATTATTTTAAGTATTTATCTATACTATATTATAAAGCATTTGACAAAAACTTTAAAAAATCGTTTTTTATGCGTAAAGTATTGTTTATTAATGCATATTACTTAACACTCAAGATTACAAGTAGATTGTGCATAATTACAACTTATTAAAGTTTCATATCTGAATTCATGTAACTAACTGCAGATAAACATAATCAAATACAGGATAAACTTCTCATTTTAAATATAAAAATCTAAAATATAATTAGCATAATCATTAAGTTCTAACAGAATATTTAATTATTATCTTTATAAAATGTTAGATTATTAAATCAAAAATAAATTATTTCATTATTAAACATAAATTAAGTTATAATAAAAAATAAATTAAAGAAATTACATAAAAAATAAGAACTTTTAAATAGTTGATTTGATATTAACATTGATATTTTTTTTTCAAATTTTTATGATACCTACAAATTTATATATTTTTTAAAATAAAATCATTATTGTTTTCTTAAAAACACATAAAATCGACAAAGACAAATAATAAAATAGAACATTAAAATCAAGATGTATCTCGTTGCATTGCGCGAGTACTCTTCTAGTATTTGTTAACGGAGCTTAGGCTTGTTTGTATAGGCTTTACCCATATATTAGTGGTCAAATGATAGCAGTAACAGATGTCGTTTCTTCTATGATACCTACGTGACTAGGGTTGCGGAAAGACTTGCATAACTCAGTGAGTTAGGCATGCATTTTATGGATAGTTGATAGAAAACATGTATCTATTGTGTGGATTTCATCCCTCCTTATTCTAATTTCTTCTTTGTCCTTTTTTTTCATAAAAATACTTTAAATATTCATGGAGAATAAAGGTTGTTTTACTTTTTGTAGCCCATGGCTGTCCATAACAGTATGTATGTATCTTCTTGATTAATCTCAGAAGTCTTAGAGAACAGTTAGGAAAATCTTCGACTTGCCGTACTTGAACCAGTGACCTCTGAACAGAATTTTCGATATTGGATCCTTATTATCAGTTAAGCTAATCCTATAATATTGTCTTTATTCTTAAATTATGGGGTTGATAATATCCTAATGACTTTCTAATCTTTGTTATCGGTCATCAATTTCTTTATTGCAAAAGTGAAAGCTTGAAAAGGAGAAAATGAAATAATTTTTTTAAAGAATTGATAAAATGTAAATAAAGTGAGGTATTTGATGTTTTACAAGAGAATTTAAGGTTTATTTTGAGGGTATATTGGTAAAATATAAGTTTGTTCCACCTTGTTTCATGTGGTGGGAGTGACATGTTCCACTTTGTTCCACATAAAAGTCATATCAAACGTAGAACAATTATACATCTTTTGCTATGGCGAAATTATGCCATTGTTTGAAGAAAAAAAATGAACATGTCTCTCTATTGGAAGACTCTGAAACATATTTTAATAGAAAACTTAATTATCAAGTCATTGTCTATTTTTCAAAACAACAACGAACTTCTTACCTATAACAATCAATATCGATAATTTATAACTATAAACATGTACAGGGGCATATGCATGTGTTTGGGATTGGGTCCTGGGCCCCCAACAAAATTAAGTCCACAAAGCCCCTTTTGTTTTACTTATAGTTTTATGTGATTTATTTTCGCAGTTCAATGTATCAGATTTATTGAAGTTGAGTGAGTTATATCCTCATGATTTTAGTTGTATGAAAAGGATCACTCTTGAGAAACAACTTAACATGTACTATTTAATTTTGCGTCAAGATGAAATATTTGCCGATTTGAATGATGTTGCCGAGCTCATTAGATTGCTAGCGGAAACAAAAAAAAAATGTACAACTTATCCTTTAGTATATCGGTTATTGAAGTTAGCTTTGGTTTTGTTGGTTGCTACCGCAACAGTCGAAAGATGTTTTTTTTTGTTATGAATATTGTGAAGTCAGATTTGCGCAACGGTGATGAATTTTTGAATGCTGCAATGATATGTATTATAGAAAAAAAAAAGCATTTCTCACAGTTTCAAATGATGATGTAATTAGCCAATTTCAAAAGATGAAAAGTTGTAGGGCACAGTTGTAAGATGTAACTTTTTATCATTTATGTATGAAATTAAAGTTAATTATTATTTTATCTTATATCATGCTCCCTACAATAATTTTTTATGCATGCATCACTGAATATGTACTTGATTGACAATATTAAGCCAACTCGATTAAAGATGGGTAAAAATGAAAAAGCCATCATGTAATCGGTTACCATAATAACCAGTCACGGTCCCTTAACCGATATCCACTCAAACATATGTAATTAATGAAAACCGGTTACAAATTATAGTTGGTCTGTTAACCAATACTTAGGTATGATCCGTTTTTTTTAAGTTTTTACATATTTTAAAAAATTGTTAATAACCAGTTCGTTGGCTACACGACTATCTGGTTATAAGAGATCCTCATTAACCGATCAAAATTTAACTGATGACCGTATGGCGGGTCGGTTTGAACTAGTTAGACCATCTTTGGGGCACTGGTCTAACTTTTTCTAACTACGCAATGGTGGTCTTTGATTGGACAACAAATTTACCGGTTTTTTATTTCCTTATTTCTCTTTTATCTTTTTCATCGTCTTTTTCGTTTTTATTTACAAATTTTTAATTGCATCCATTTCCGCAACTTCGTCAAAGAAAGATTGCAATTTTAATCCTAGAATTCCGTCTGTTTTCTGGGTTTGGAAAAGTGTGAATTTTCAACAACAATTTTATGTTCTTAATATTGAGAAATTTTAAATAATGACATGTCCTTAATAACTTAACATTTACGATCTTTATGAGTTTTAAAAGATTAAGGTTTTTTTTTCTATTTATAATAAAAATATATAATTCGATTTAAGTAAATAATATTTTATATTATAATATATTTATTAATAATTAGAAGAGTAGTCATACAATACAACGATACACATCTCGATTTTAATTTTCTATTTTATTATTTGTCTTTGTCGATGTTATAATACGATTTTATGTGTTTTTAAGAAAGCAAAAATGATTTTATTTTTGAATAAAATATAAATTTGAAGATATCATAAAAATGTGAAAAAAAATATATCAATGTTAATATCAAATCAACTATTTAAAAGTTCTCATTTTATATTTATTTCTTTAATTTATTTTTTATTATAATTTAATTTAAA